GGTCTCTTCAACTGCTCAGGAGCCCACCAACAATCTGAGATGCAAGGAAGAGGAAATTTAACTACTCCACGTAAACTTGTCTCCATGCCTCTGGGGGCCCTTTCTCCTTCCAGTTTCCCACAACTTCTTCTGTGGAGTCTCCTGTATTGTCAAGCACCCTTCCTTCTGCCGATTATGCAATGTGTGTTTGCCTACCTATTTACTTTTTATCTTAATTGTAAAATGTGTCTTTCTTCCGGAGACACTCTGGCTGGTGTTCTTTCTCGTCTGCTGTCTTGCCCATCTCCAATCTGCAAGTTCTTACACAATTCTCACCTCTTGGAGGATTGGGCTTAGTGACTGGCTTCCAACCAAAAGAATATGACAAAAGTGATGAGATGTCACTTCCAAGATTGAGTTATGAATGTCTGTGACTTCTATCTTGCTCCTTTTTATCTTGGATCTCTCTCTGTCTCTCTCTCTTCCCCCACCTCTCTGCTTGAAAGCAAGTGGAGATATTGTTAGTTGCCCTACAGAGAGACGCCAGCAGCAAAGAACCAATGGAGGACCTGGGCTTCAGACAGAAAAATTTTGAGCCCCTCAGTCCAAACTGAAACCTGCTTATTCCTGGTGAGTTTGCTGGGAGGAAGACCCTGCCCAGTCAACCCTTAGTTGGGACCACAGCCACAGCCTCCCAAGAGGCCTGGAGGTAAAGACACTGAGCTGAGCCATGCCAGGATCCTAAAACAACCAAATTTTCAGATAATTATAATGTTTGTTGTTACAAGCTGTAAGTTTGAGTATTGTTGTCACCAGCAATAACTATTATTACATAGTAGAGTATCCCAGGCCTTGGGGTGTGGCCCTGCTCTCCTCCTTCCCTTCCCTCCTCTCCTCCCAGCTCCCCTCCAGCCACGCCGGATGCCTTTTCACCTACTTTGTGGCCAAATTCATTTATCTCGCCAAGTCTCTGAGGAGTAGACCCTGCCTTTTAGTACTCTCTTCCCAGACTTCTGAGAGGGCTCCCTCCACTTGTATTTCTGGTACCAGCACAAATGTCACCTCGTTAAGGCATTTGATACCTGCACACCTACTGTCTGCAGCTCTCTGTCCCAGCACCTGCTTTGTTTCACTAGAGCATTTGGTATTCTCTCCTACATGCATTCACTTTCATGAAGTTGACCCATCTTCTCATCGACACTACGAGCTCTTTCAAGACAGACATCATGTTGGTTACTTTTATCATTGTGCCCAGGCTTAATATGGCCCCTGCACAGGGTGACAATTTGGGGCACAGTTGCTCTGAGAGTAAATGAGGTGATCTTTGCCCCATTTCTTACTTCTGAGCAGTGCCCACTGTGGAGAGGAATGCTGGTAAGGAAAGACCCATGTTGACTCCCAGGAAGGGACACAGAAAATGAGCCCCCATGTTGCCAGCTCTAGTTGTTCCAACATGGTACAATAGACCCTGTCTGTCCCTGGTGTCCCCTCATGGTCATTGCAGCACAGGATGGGGAGTGGGGTGAACAGAGCACACTTTTGTTTGTGTGTCCCCAAGGTAGTGTGTCTCTCTCTGAACACTGCAGGGCTAGTTAGTGAGACCTACAGGATCCAGGATGTTGAGAACGACCTTATAAGCCTCCGCTTGTCCTTGTTTGCCTCCACTGTACTGGGGTGTCCAGTTCACTCCCCAGGCCTTGACAAGGTTGTCAGGGCAACGACTCAAGCCCCACTCACAAATGAAAGCCCTGAGGCTTTGACACAGAAAGCCTTTCCCTGGACTTCAGAGATGTGGTTCAATGCTGTTCCACATCCAGCACTACCCAAGCACTTAGTTCTACAAACCTACAGTCTGCTGTCTGCTCTGAAGGATCTCCAGGGAGTAGAAACCATTTTCCAAGGGCCTGGGAGAACAGTGGGTAACTCATGAGGAATTAAAGTCAACAGATACCTCTCCAAGCATGTGGGACCTTTGAAGTCACCCAGGCCAAGTGATCAAATATACAGGGAAGGTATTTGAGCCTTTTTCCCATGGAGCTCCCTGCTCATTAAGTAGGGGTCATTCTAGTTCCACATATCAAGAGCTGTAAACTCAAAATCCTGGAACCTGTCATCCTGAGGCTACCCTGTGGATGGAAGCCTTGGAAGACTCTGGGAATCTTGGGTACCTGGCCCCCAGCATCTATTACATATTTGTATATGCTAAAGGGATATCTTTATTTTGTCTCTAAGAACAGGGATGTGGCAGTAAAAGAACATATAGAATAACATTGCAGACCCCAGATAGTTCAATTTTTGGGACACCTTAGAACTGCAGGGTGTGCATATTCCATTCATACAACCACAAAGAATTTCCTCTTAAATATTCACTGTGTAGCTCTTCCCTCCAAATTTACTCCCTTTGCTCTGGTGTAACCAGCTTAAATAAGAAGGATCTGAGAGAAAGAAAGAACTGCCTTGAAGAACGTTGATCTTGTCAGTTCAACCTGCCTGGGGGCTGGCTGGGTACAGGACAGGACCTGCGTGCTGAATGCTGGCCCTGCTGTGGTTCTGTTGTTATTCTTTTTTTTTTAAATATAAAACACTAAGGATGTACACATGTTTCTATTACATGGATAGCTTGTATAGTGCTTAAGTCAGCGCTTTTAGTGTTTTGTCACCAAAACAGTGTTTATTGTACCCCAGAGGTACAATTTATCCCACATGTGCCCTCCCAGACGACTTACTTTTTGGTTTCCAATATCTTATATATATCTCTGTGCCTGTGTGTACTCATAATTTAGCTACCACTTATTAGTGAGAACATATGATGTTTGGTCTTCCATTTTTGAGATACTTCATGTA